ATTGAGCATCTCTGGAGAGACCTGAAAATGGCTGTCCACCAACGTTCACCATCCAACCTGACAAAACTGGAGAGGATCTGCAATGAGGAATGGCAGAGAATTCCCAATTCCAGGTGTGAAAAATGTGTTGCATCATTCCCAGAAAGATTATGGCTGTATTAGCTCAAAAGGGTGCTTCTACTAAATACTGAGTAAAGGGTCTGAATACTTATGACCATGTGATATTTTAGTTTTTCTTTTGTAATACATCTGCAAAAATGTCAACCATTCTGTGATTTTCTTTCAATATAGGATGCTGTGTGTACATTAATAAAGAAAAAAATAAATAAACTTGAATATTTAAATGGCTGTAATATAACAGAGAAAAATTTAACGGGGTCTGAATACTTTCTGTACCCACTGTATGGCCACTGTACAACCAGCCATGTACCAACCAACCATGTAAACAAAGCCATCTTCCACGTATCGCTCTGTGTAACCTTGCATTTCTCCACTGCTTCCCAACTAATTACGGGAACTAGTTGGCAAGTAGCATTTTAAGGCTGTACATTGGAATGATGGAGCAAGACTTTCTTAATAAATTTATGGGAGATGGTGGCATATGAAACGCCATTGGTCGAGGACGTCGTAAACCGAGGACCCCCAGTGTTTTTTGGAACTCTCAAGCACTTGCGCTCTCGGTTCATATCTAAACTGTTGCTTTGCTCTGGTAACACAAGAAATTGATTAAGGCTGGGCTATGTAGTGCAAAAATCATATCGGTATATCAAAATACTGTGACATTTTCTTAAGAAATGGTAACAAAAGAGAGCAAAGTCACGTATTTCTAATCTCACAGGGATTTTATCTAAGACTGCATGTGCAAATATAAAACAAAGCTTGAAATACTTCACGCATGTAGTGAGAAAATATACTCAAAGTGCTGCCTCCTGCATAAAAACATGTATTGTTTTGTTAAGGTAACAGTAAACATCTGTTTCAGTAAACAAAGGTTAGGACTACAAATTACATTTTATGATGCCATCTACTACATAAAGAGAGCCAAAGTGGCATGTGCAGTTAAGGTGGTTTTATTAAACAAAAATCATCTGTGTTGAAAATTAAAAAGCATGGTCTTTTATTGAGTTATGACATTTTTATTTTCTGCAGAAATTTGGTCTTAAAACAAGGTTATTAGAAGGTCTACAGTCTGTGTCCTTCTAGTGCTGATTTCAAACCAAAAAAAAGACAGAAGCTTGTGTCAGGTGGAGTATTTTATAGGCCTTAATCTTGGTCAATGTCCTACTGGAGCTGTGACCATACATCCCGTGTCTTAAGTAATCTGCTGTAAAGTACCGGCACGTCAAGAAGTTCACCTGGAAGTTCGCATGGATCAGTAATTACAAACATTAAACTCATTGTCCAGTGGCAGGATTCGTTTTGTCTGCTGTCGTGGCACTGTGGTTTTCGCTCACTGAAGTGAGGATTCATGTGCTCTCATTTGGATTTGAAGTAAAAAGAAAAGAAGCCTCTTGAGAGCCATGTGAGAAACTGTATAATCTTCTGTATGTGCATAAGAGATGCTTTCTCCTTTGGAGAAAAAAAATGGTATTTTTAGCTTTTTGGTGCTTGCTGTGTCTCTATTAAGCAGCCCTTTGTCCTGTCAACTCTGCTTCAGATCCACACCCTGTCTGATTGTCTCCATGGTCTCGTTTTCGTCTTAAGTCACAGAAAGGGAGGGAACTGTTTATTGCCGTGATATAGCAGTTGTTGACTTGACTTAGTCACAAGGCTGTTTTAGAGGTGGAAGGAGCCAAGTGAACACATCATCTATAGGTTGAGCTGTCCTCTGGATTCTTTCTGAGTACCACACAGGGAATAGACAAAGGAGGTGGGTGTCATGAGGGACTGAGTGAAACTCAAGAAATTGAGAAGGAATGAGTTTACAAGCTTAGGTAGTGTAAGTAGCACAAATAAGTGTCTGTTCTCCAGATCCTAATTTTACTAGAACTACTTGCATTACTTTATTTCAGTTGCAATTTACACTATAAAGAATCAGTAAATAAATAAATAAAAATACTTTATCCATGAAGACTTACTGATGGACAATCAAGTCGGTCCATTTGTCCATTAATAATGAAGTAGCATTGCGCTAGCCCTGGACACAGTTAAAGCTACTTTTCTAACATACTGTATTGAGGGGCTAATTATCAGAGTCTTTATAGGACTGTAACCATGTACAAATAATGGCAGCCATTGTAAGCAAGTAGTGTTAAGTTTCTAAAGATGATCCTTGTACTAAGTTTCTGCTGATGTGCAGTTGAAACACAGCTTAGATAATTGATAATGTGGCTTGAATGACCTGGCATTTGGTCTTGTGCTGAAACAAGTGGTTTGAACAATGCAGTTGTATGGATGACGTCCAAAGTTCTGGATTTTGTTTCATGAAAACAGAAATGTGTCTGCGTCTTTGTGTCACATGATTTGTTTCATCAGTCCATCATCACATTACATTTGTGCATATTACATTCTTGTGGTTGAAATTTTGATCATTTAACTAAAGTGTGATAATCATGAGCTCACAGTGTGAACATAATCACAGATGTGAGGAAGTTTTTAAATCAAACCTAAAGTAAAAACAACATAAGACTGGATTCAACACTTCAGTTAGTACAAAATAATTCAGCTGAATTGTTGAGGCATCCACACCTACTATCTTGTCCTCTCAAATGTTTAGGTTTTTTTTTTTACTATGATGCTAACACACAAAGCTGCTTATTGTTATCATTTATGTTGTGGCAGGCACTGCAAGGGATGCCTCTCACACTACAGGACTGTGGGCTGGGGGCGTGGTTTACGGTGCCTATGTTTTGGCGCGCTGAGTTGTTGAAGTCAGTTGTTCTGCGCTTTTGGAATAAAGAGTAAACTCACTCCCGTCTCCTGCGCTTTCTTCCTGCTACATTGGTGACCCCGAATTGAACATGTTCGAAGCTGCAGAGGATCGTGTCTCCTCTTCAGGCATGTCAGCGGAACATTCACAGCCAGTCGCTTTTGCTGCGGCCGTGAAGCTTCCTGAATTTTGGCAGAACGACCCGGCTTCGTGGTTCCAACACGTAGAAGCACTGTTTCACCTGCGTGGAATTACCGCGGACGAACCGAGGTACTACATGGTTGTCGCAACCCTCGACCAACAGTCTACACGCCGGGTCATGCAGTTGTTGCGGTCCCCACCACTACACGGGAAATACGACGCCCTTCAGCAGCTGT